ATATGAGGGCTGCAACATAAACGATAAGTGGCACACAGAGGACCTACCTTGCTCACCATGCTGTACCTTAGGACCTAGCACAGTGTGGGGCACAAATTATGAATATGTGGAATGAAGGGCTGATCTTATGATAAAAATTGCATGTTTTTCAAGCATTACTTTTTTCTTTGGGGGTTCTAATAAACACTAAGGATTTTTCTCCCAGAAAAAAAATGCACAAATGTAAGATTTTACATATAATTTTAGGATCATGGATCCCAGGATTAAAAACTCTGCACCAGACTGTAGTGAATTCATGCTATTGAAAGGAATTTTAAAGACAGGACAGGCAGTTAGGGAATAAGAGGGGTCCATGGGAGAGGAATGCATAGGTGAGGGCTTGGTGCAGACAAAATGCTTATCTTACTTATACAGAGGATAGAGAAATGTGACAAGATAAGGGGAAGGGGAAGGCATACATTCACAGGGGATAGGGAAATGTCACAAGATAAGGGAAGAGGGAAACATACTTCACAGGGGATAGAGAAATGTTACAAAGGAAAGAGGAAAAGGGGAACACCGGATGGGCTTTGACTTTGGAACTGACACCCTGCAAAAGAGTCACCAATTAGGAAAGCACGAGATCATAAAATGGGGAAGGGGTCCAATTAGAAGGAAGCTACATTGACAAAGAACTCCCAGCCTTTAAAAACCTTAGACCAGTGGTTCTCAACCTGTGGGTCGCGACCCCTTTGGGGTCGAACGACCCTTTCACAGGGGTCGCCTAAGACCATTGGAAAACACATATATAATTACATATTGTTTTTGTGATTAATCATTATGCTTTAATTATGTTCAATTTGTAACAATGAAATTGGGGGTCACCACAACATGAGGAATTGTATTAAAGGGTCGAGGCATTAGGAAGGTTGAGAACCACTGTCTTAGACAAAGAGGCTTGGTTGGTTACCCCCTGGGGAACCCCTCCCTATGTGGGAGTTTGTATTTGCTTCCAATTGATTCCCACACTTTTACTAACAAGTCCTTTTAGTCCTCGAATTTTATTCTTCAAACTTCGTGAGACAAGAACCCACAAGGAGAGTCTGCTCGTGGAACCCCATGTTACACTATGAAGTTTTTTGGTAAACAGCCATCTGGCTTCACCTACCAAAATGCCTATTGGGATGTACACTTTTTTTCATTGAAACACATGCAGTTCCCAGGCAGGAAGGGGTTATACTAGCATGCAGTGACATCAAGGAGTGAAAGTACCTTAGTAAATGTCATTGGAGTTACCTCAGCACCAGACACTTGCCAGTGGTTGATTAACAAACACTTTCCATTTCACCTTCAGGGTATTTCTCCTTGCTTACTAGTATGTCCTATTGGCAGAGTATTCCCTATTGAATGGAAAAAGCCTGATGCCAAACTTGCACACATACTCCTTTGGGAAATGTGATCACTAAGTGCTGTATAGCTTTGAATTCCACATCCTGGTTCCTAAGAAACAGGGTTGTCCTTTGGCAACTAAGTAGTTCATACTTCTTTTATAGCAGCTTCTGACATCTTTGTTTCATTTCTTTACTTTGAGGGTGAACTCAGAGGGCAAGGGTTGTCTTTCTTAGTCCCTAGACCTGGACTCATCAAGGTTGCCCAACACATATTTCTGACAAACTCACAGACCAAAACACATTCCTTGTGTGTAGTGCAGTCTCATTACTATACTCACAGATGTTTCATATAAGTTCTCTCTTTATACATTACAGTATAAATGTCAGCTATCTTAAATGAACATTAAAACAAAATACAACTACCAGGGAGAAACTGCAGAGTTATGAAATAACAACATATATGAAGTCTGCCATCTACAGTAAACCTAAAGCCAAAGTCATGAGCTAAGGTTCTCAATGTGTCTGTCCAATAGATCACTTCTTCATAGTCCTTCTCTCATTATCTGTATTTGAGAAGCAACTTTTCTAAGTCAAAAAAGTAATTTCAAAGCTTATAGTTGTCTTTGTAACCAAATGGTATGCTTTACTTTATTAAACTGATCATCCTGCATCACATCAATATCGGATTTCCCATCTTTAAAAGAAGGTTAATAGGAAAACAAGTATTTCTTACTGTGTTTTATTTTAAACCAATTATTTTCTTGTTTATAGAGCTTCGAGAAAGAACAATGCTAAAACATGAATTTAAACTACTAATGTTCACCTTAATACTGTTCCAGAATGTTAGATATAAAAACAAAAACATTAAAATGGCAATATATTTAGCAATCTGGCTTCAAATGCTGCAATTCAAACCTCTGGTCAATGAATAACTATTATACAAAAAACTAATGTATATAGGATTAACATTGTAAAAACATTAACTCTCTCATTTAATCCTCTTAATTTATTATGAAGGAGGAACCACTCCCAACTACTTGCTATTCCCTAGCTGAGCTAGCTCACTGGGCACTATTTGAAATGCACTGGTTGGTGATCACCTAGTTATCACTCAAGGTCCAGCCCAAGTCTCATTTCCTGGATGAAGCCTTTCCTGAACCCTCTCCTCCCCTGTGAAAACAATCCTAGGCTTTTGTCTTTAGGGGAAATGTACTCATAATAAAGATTTGTAGACTTGCTCCCGGTTTTTAAAAAAGTGTATTTAAAAATAGACAGAGATATCCTCCTTGACCACTAATAGCATGAAAATAATGGAGTGAATATTTTTATTCCATGTTTTTAAGGGTTAAGCTAGGCAGAAACTAGGTTCCGGCCTACACTGTGGGCTGCAGTGAAGAGCAGGAACTGTTTTCAGAGAACAGAAGTTGGAAACCACAAAGCTTCTATTGCTGAGGCTACACCGCCTATATTATCATTTTAAGAGGGTACATTATGCTTTTTGCCCACTTTCTCTTGTGGGAGTCAGGGGGCCCCACTGTAGGACCTGCGTGGTCAGATGTCTTTCCCTCTGTGGGTCACTGAAGCATTCTATGAATACTCCTGTGTGTCCAGGCGCCAGGTGCTCCATTTTGTCAACAAGGTGAGGTTGACATTATCACTGGCCTGGTGACCACCACTTAAATGCTGATAGCTGAATTAAACCTAACAATTGTCACTGGTATTAATGTTAAAGCAGACATTTCTTGGGACTAAATGACTGTTGATACATCCAGAATTAGCCAGTGGAGCAAGGAAATAAAAGTACCACCTGGTTCCCTAGCCTAGATCACCACGCCTACAGATGCTTTCCTGTACCTGGGCTTTCTTTTGTTATTTCTATTTTCAACCATTTGAAATTCTAGCTTTTCTTGCCAAATTTAAGGCAAAATTCCAAAGTTCATTGTCAGCATTTTCTATTTCCTTCACATCCTCTATTGTTGATTCTAAGGGGTTGGGAACTTCTCATTTGTCTGTTTCCTTAATGAAAGGATGTGCCACTTATAGTTTAGGTTACAGCTCTCTTCTGTAACAGATTTCTTCTTTACAAATGCTAACATAAACCAAATAGCTCACTTTTGCTCAGTCATAGGAATCTTGCTCACAAAACAAATACATACTTAAAGTACTAAAATTGTTCAGAACTATTTTTGAGACAGTGATACACTGGATTTTACAATTAAGGGAATATTTCACATTGCACAACTTCAAAATGCATGGGAATATTTTTTAAAACAAAATATGCCAATTGAGACATTTGGTAAAAGATTTCTTGGTAGCCTGCTAAAAATGTATTTTTCATCCCCAAAGGCTGTTTTAAATAGTACTGTCATTGTGTGGAATTCCAGCTGATGTCTTCTACCTAGTGCATTCTGTAACTTAGAGCTAAAGGAAGCAGCCAACTGACAAACCAATTGTTCCAAGATGCAGAGGGTCTTAAAAATGACTTAAATACTGACCTTAAAGACACACCCCAAATGACTGCTTTGTGTTCTGTGAGGTTAACCCTCTCTAATACTTGCTCAAGGCTAAGTCTAACCGAGAAAATAAAATTCTTAGCAGACACAATGGGTGAAATCTGAGTCATGGAAAGATTGCAAGGCCAGGTCAAGGGCAGGGAATCACTTTTCCCTAATGCAATCTGCTATGTGCACTTCCCCTCTACCCTCTGTCTTGCAGATGATATGCCTAAACATCAGGAAAAGGTTTATGAAGAATTTCTCTCATTTGTGAGCATGTTTCTCTTTATTATTTTAAGGGCACAGAATAAACACTAGCTAGGAGGCCATTACTGCTTAAAAACAAACAAAATAACTTGGAGCTATGACTCAAATTAATTCTCTTCCTTATGGTATTAAGAGAATTAAGGGGTAGAAGCTAAAAATCTCTCACAATTTAGAAAGTGACAAGTCAAGACTACACAAAAGTCTCAAAGGCAGTGACAATGGAAATTTCAAATGGGTCATCATAGTGACCACAAATAACCTGCAAAAAGCAATGGCCAAAAGACTCCATAGGTAGGGATTACCTTATCAATCATGTTAACCTTTTCAGGCATTATGCTTTTTTAAGAGTCCATATTCATTAAATAAGCACTGAATGTAAAACTGCTTTCTCATCTAACCTAATAATCCATATTATTTAAAAAACGATAATGTTTGACCAAATATTTTTCTAGATATCATAGCCTGTTTAACATTATACCTGATGATACGATATTCTTTGAGTGTTTCAACTGTATCATGTACAATTATAATCAGGCTGTCCTAACTTATTCTATTAAGAGTCACTGCGATTTCTGTAGTAGTTCAGTATATAATCAAAGTTAATAGATTTTTCATTATCGATTAGGGTCAGATGTGATAAATGACCTCAAATGTTCTCTTTAGAGGCTTAAAGACAAAGAACTCTAAACAAGCACCAGCATCTTTTGAAAGGATACCTGAGGGGGCAGGGAAAATATTTATTTCCCAGTAAAGTAGAGAAGGTGGTTAACGGTTAGAGTATGGTTTCTTCCTACCTGCCCCTGGCCCACCCAGCCTGCTGTAACAATGAGGGTGCTGGTGAGATACTATGGACAGGGTCTGACCATACCTTCATGGGTAGGCTCTGGGTCAGGCGTAAGTGAGATGTCATCCAGCTCTCGAAGGCAGAGCCATTCTCCATCCATAGACACTCGGAATTTGCAAAGGTAGATGGTCTCCATGGCAGCCTGTGTGATCTTGTCAGTGGTGGGGGTTGGCATATCAGTTGGAGGCGTCAAAGCAGACATGATGACTCAGCTGGGACCACAACACACACACAAACACACACACACACACACACACACACACACCCCCGACAAAAATAAAACCTCCTCGCCCAAACCCCCCAAATCCAAAGCTCTGGAACAAAGCTCTCAAGGGGTGCAGGAGGTTAAAAAAGAACACACACAAGGAAAAATATCTTATGGTTTAAGAACCAACTGTTCAAGATAAACAATTCTACACTATCTTTTCCCATAGACAGTTTCTACCACATAACAAAATAAAATGATGCTGTCTTCTCTCAGCTTCACTCCTTTTATCTTCCCTCCCCTACCCCTTCTTCTTCAGCTGAGCTATAGGCTTTAAATCCTGCACAGCTGATGCCGCCTTAGCTGGTTTTAAAAAACTGGCCTCTGCATGTGTAAGTGAAAAATCCTCCTCCTTTGTGCAGAAAAAAAAATACAAAAGGAAAAAAAATGAACAAAATTTTCAATTTAGCTTTAACAAAATCCTGAACTGCAGAATCACTTCCAGGATCTGCTTAGATGAGCCGGGATGCTGAGTTCTGACAGGATTGGTTGTGCGCAGTAAGCAGGGTGTTGACCAAAATGGCTGACTAATGAACTGAACTGAAAATCCAGGCTCATGTGACCAGCTGCTCTGAACGCAGGGCGAGCAATTCCCAGGATGCTTTATAGATGCTGCTGATGCGGAGAGAGCAATTAGGCTGCTTGCTCTCATCCTGCACAACCCACTTCCAGACTGTGCTAGTCAAACTGTGATCAGACATAACACAATGCACAGATCCTCATCAATTCCCCTTACTTTGGGATAAAGGCTGCCTAACAGGAGGACAATTAACATAAGAGGCAGTTAGATTAATTTAACAAGCACATAGTCCACGTCTCTTTTATCCTTATATACCTAGATATTAAAATCCTTTTTTTATAATCTGTTTTTATTTTATTTTTAATATATTTTTATTAATTTCAGAGAGGAAAGAAGAGGGAGAGATAGAAACATCAATGATGAGAGAGAATCATTGATTGGCTGCCTCCTGCATGCTCCCCACTGGAGATGGAGCCCGCAACCCGGGCACGTGCCCTTGACCAGAATCAAACCCGGGATCCTTGAGTCTGCAGGCTGATGCTCTATCCACTGAGTCAAACCAGCTAGGGCTAGATATTAAAATTCTTTACTCTGCTAAAGGTGCTGTTTTAAGAAAAGCTAAAGCAGATTTTCAATTTAAATATTATACTCTCAGGCATTTGTAATTCCCTCCTCCAAAGCACAAAAACCTGACATTTTAGATTTGACAGAAATGCAAGAAAAAAACCCTTGAATTTAAAAAGTAAAATCCTTCCTGATTAATGCCAATTTCACCTCCTATTAATACTGCTGTATTTACCAAGTTTCTGTACTAAGCATGTACTGTGTTTCTAATCAGAAGATAAAACTATGTTATATTTTTAAAATTCTCCCATCCTGGAAACACCCTAAGGACACATTTTCATATTGTCTTAAACCAGCCGACCAACTCACCCACCGACCCACATGCATATCTGTATTAACCAAGGAGACGTTTATACGTTGCTTTCTGGGCTACTTAAATAACAAGGAGATAAGGAATGATAAAGATTTTCTTTGACAGAGTTCTGGATGATTGAAAACAAGTTTTTTTTTTTTCTTCTTTCTATTTAAGGATCTGGTTGTAAAGAGGAACATACAACTTCAAGAAATATATCCCAAGATGATTTATTCCATTTTAGAGATTTATCAGAGGGATATCTTGATTTAATAATTTTTGAAAACTAAAAGAAAAAAATTCTCCTAGAACATTATCAAAATTTCATAAATGCTTTATGAATAAAATTAAGCTCAATGAAAAAATGCTAAGAACCAGATTCTGTAGGTAAACAAACATTATATTGTTAGAGGAAGGCAAACTGGTATAATGTAAAAAATGTATATAAGTATATACATATTTAAAATTAGGAATAAATCCTTAAGTTATTAAGGAAAATAAAATATTCCAGGTTTATTCATTTCTATTTAAATCTCTTTCAACATTATCTTACATCTGGACCCAGGGCTATGCATCCATTCATTCATTCACTCATTCATTCATTCAATATTCACTGAGAGTACTCTAGGTTGCCAGGCAGCAATCCAGACACTGGGCATGCAGTAATAAGACAAGACCACTTTTTGAGGAGACATAATTTGCATATCCAAATACTGAACACAAACCTTCATTTAACACATTCACATTTAATTACAGTTTGATTTCTTTCTAGCTATATACATTTACATATTAAAGTTGAAAGGGGATAGATATAGTTTCACTTTAAGCCATGCAATACAGTGGGGCCTTGACTTACGAATTTAATTCATTCTAAAACCGAGCTCGTTAACTCAAATTACTCTGTCAACTCAATGCAAAAAATCGGCTGGTATCTCAAAAAACTCGTTAGTCGGGACACTCGTAAGTCAAGACCCCACTGTACTTCAAAACATAGTAAACACTCATGTAAAGTCTTATACTGAACAGTTCCTGGAACCACAATGCCAAACAAGCCTGGCTATTTGTATACATGACATCAAGATTCTAGGTCACTGATACAGTCTTAAAATATAGAACAGTGAATACATAAGTAAATCTGAATGCTTTGGGGTTCCCTGTGGTCCACCCATACCCCAATTTAGCCTATCACAAACCACGACAAACAATCCTTTTACCAACCAACCAATCTACTAACCCCTGAATAGGAGATTCAGGTTGATTACAGCATACCAGGAATAGAACATCCAGGTTAATAATCAGAGAAACTTGGTTAACTTTCCTTCCAAAGGTCCTTCTCGAGAGTCAGCTAGAGGACACACGGAGGGAAGTCCAAAGCAACTAAAATTTTGCCAAGGAGACAAAAACCTGCCCACACTGGTTTTCCTTGAGTTTCCCAGACCGATGAGTCTGAGGAGGTATTAGCAGCCATTTCAGAACTGTGGATGGGCAGGAAAACCTATACTTCCACTATCTAGCTATACCTGTTTGCAGGTAAACACCTTTGAGTCTTCAGCATGAACAGATACTTATTGTCCGTAAGCAATGAATTTACTACAAAACAAGCACTATTTGTAGAAGACTAATAAAATAATTCTAAATATTGGTCAGTTTTTACATGTGAGTCTTTACAAGTACACATATTAGCCTTGAATATAAAGGTAATATTAAGTCATCAGTAAGACATATAAACCTTGATTTTTTTCTCATATTCTAATTTTTCCTCATAAACATATTAATTACAAGATGTAGTGAACTATTTTCTCATTTAATCCCACTTGTGAATAAAGGCACATATTTGTAAACTAGTTGTGAGGAGGGCTGGGGTAGCCTGTGGCCCTAAACAGAATTAATAGGCCTATGTGAAGTTCAAACCCAAGATGATGATCTGACTAATACTATGTTCTAGCTGTTCACATAGCTCATCTTTTCCACATTATGACTGATTCAAAGCAAACAAGATTCACATTTCAAACCTGGAAGTTACATTCCTTTTAAAGTATATTTACTCAGTTACTATTATAAAGACTGATTTGTTATGCCCAATGTCCCTGTTATACAATGTGGAAAAATTATTGCTTAAGGTAACCATCATTTATTGAATTTTTACTTTCTGAAAGAGGTTTTATAGATACCGTAAAAAAATCCTCACACGCCGAAACCGGTTTGGCTCAGTGGATAGAGCGTCGACTGCGGACTGAAAGGTCCCGGGTTCGATTCTGGTCAAGGGCATGTACCTGGGTTTCGGGCACATCCCCAGTGGGAGATGTGCAGGAGGTGGCTGATCGATGTTTCTCTCTCATCGATGTTTCTAACTCTCTATCTCTCTCCCTTCCTCTCTGTAAAAAACCAATAAAATATATTTTAAAAAAAATCCTCACAAGAATCCTGCAAAGTAGATATTGATAAGCCCTTTTTACATACAAGGAAACCCAAGGTAAGCCAGTGACTGGCCCAAGATCACACAATTAGTGAGGGGCAGATCTGGGATTTCAAACTGCTTCTGTGTTGATGCCTCAAAGTCCATGTGACCTCCTATGCTTTGCAACTTCAGCACTCCATCCCAAAGATTACATTTTCACATAGGGAAAATAAGAAGAAACAAAGCAAAAACCAACCAACCAAACAAACAAAAAACAAAACCAAACTAAAAACAAACCATAAACAAGGTCCTCATGAAATTTCCTAGACATGAATTTCAACAAATTTAAGATTTGAAAAAGAGGACATTTCTATCAGCTTTCACACTTTACACCTTAATGCTTCACAAACCATATATTCCATTTAGTCATCCTTATACATTTAGCTCAGGTTTTTAATAAGTGGCATTTTCTGAAAAACTGAGAACTCAGCATGGGCCTTTCCTGCTGTGTACAATCATTTCTAAATATGGTGTAGATCATCTTATTTTTAAAATATTACTACAAATATAATTTACTAGAGGCCTGGTGCACAAAAATTTGTGCACTGGCGGGGGTGGGAAGGGTGTCCCTCAGCCCGACCTGTGCCCTCTCACAGTCTGAGACCCCTCAGGAGATAACCACCTGCTGGCTTAGGCCCGCTCCCGGGTGGCAGATGGCAGGCCCGATCCTGTGGTGCCTGCCCTGCCACCCCGGGTCGCAGAGGGCAGGCCCGGATGGCGGCGGGGCGGGCGGCGGATTGCGCTGTCCCGCCCTGCCTGCAGTATGCAAATTTAACGGACATCTTTGTTGGGTTAATTTGCATACTCCTCTGATTGGCTGATGGGTGTAGTGAAGGTATGGTCAATTAGCATCTTTGTCTTTTATTAGTGTAGATAGATGCCTCAACAATAAATTTAGCTTCAGTTGTCTTTTTTTAACTTTAAGAAAGGGTTTCATGTTCTTTACAACCTTCTAAGCCTTTCACTCAACATTGTGTTTTCTAAAATTTATCCATGCTGTAGTGTGGTGGCTGTAGTTTATACTTTTGGCTACTGTATTATAAGGTAATCTTCCATTGTATGTATAAACAATTTTCTGATTCATTTCCATGCTAGTGAGCATTTGGGTTATTTATGATTTTTTTCATTTTAAATATTATGTAGATACTTTTAAGAAATAGATTTCTTGCAGGTATGCCAATTCCTCCAAACAGGTTTGAGGGTTTCTTTTATGGTTAGTTATCTCCTATTACCTAGTTCCTATTCTGTACATAATGGTGCTTCTTAAAATTTGTTGCCCTTTGGAACTAAATCAGTCTGTAAATATCACAAGTTATGCTGCCCAAGGCTTCTTGGATCATGATTTTAAAACTTAAGAAGAAAAACCTCATCTTCCCTACCTCCCCCCTGCCTTTACTAGTTGCTATTAGCACAAAAGGGTTTCTTTGATAAATTATTGTGATAACGACATTGATGGAAAGCCCAGATGTTTTGCTAAATTATAAGATTATTCAATGGAATGATCATGATTTATTTATATGCTCTAATCCTCCCTCCCTCTTTCAGACAAAAATCTATTATGCTTACCTCTGATGCTGCTAATATTTCTACAATTT